GCATCAAGCATGAAAGCTGTTACCCAACCAGGCTGATGTTGCTGATAAGAAACTACTGTGTGTGTGTGTGTGTGTGTGTGTGTGTGTGTGTGTGTGTGTATAAAGCCGCAGCCTACAGATCCTGCTTCACTTCGACTCAGCCTGAGGTCACAGCATGGCCTTCAGCCGACTTGTCATCGTGATGCTGCTGATCCACGCCGCAGGTGAGAAATATGATTCTGAATTCATTTATTCAAACTTATCTAATCAATACTATCAATACTTACTAGTAGAATCTTAAACTAAAATCAAAAGTGTCATATTGGTAGTTCTTGCTAGTTGGAATTCTTTGCTTTCTTGCGTACAGTTAGATGAGATGTTAGCATTAACTATCTTGACCAAGGAAACTTCAAGATGTTGACTGCAGGGGCTGGAGGTCGGGCACCTAACCCCAGAATCCATAGAGACATCATGAAAGCTGTGACTCCTTGGCATAGAAGGGTTCAGAATCGTTTTAAGCACCTTCTAAAAGGCCATTGATAATTTAACTAACTAACCAAGATGTACATGGACTTTAATGGATAGTTTAAAGGAGTTCAAACCTAGAATCTTCTGGTCCATAGTCAGATCCGTTATCGATGGCCCCATCAGCGTTATAAAGTCTGTTGTGCTTTCAGGTGTTCTTGGTGCTGAGGTGAGGAGCTCCATCATTGGGGGGGGGGATGCCGGTAAGGGCAGATGGCCACAAATGGCCTTCCTGAAGGCCATCACAGCTGATGGTGTGCACAAGTGGCTCTGTGGCGCCACCATCCTCAACAGTGAATGGGTGCTGACTGCTGCTCACTGCTGGGATAAGTAAGTGCTCTTTTCAGGACCCTCATCCTCTTCCGTATCGTGACTACACTGGTTATTGTAGATATGTATCAAAATCAATACATTACATTTTAATAAAATCCTTCTCAATTTAATGGTATTCAAAAACAACAAAACGTAACAAAGTTTAGTGGGCAGGTAGAATCAGAATACTTTTTTTATCTCCAGGGAAAATATGTTTCGTGAGAGTTGTTCTATTTGAGAATTAAATATAATCAAGGATAAATATAAGTATATATAATACAAATATGTAAACAAAAGTGAATTGTGTATCACAGTCCCTACATCTATGAATGACGAAAAAGTAGCTAATGTGTGTTTGCGTTGCCAGACACCCTAACCCTGATATCCACCGATCGATGGTTTGGGTGGGCACGCACGAACTGAAAAAAGCGTCTGCTCGTTACCATGGCATCCTTCACTTCATTCCCCACTCTGAGTACAAGGCCCTTAACACCGGCTTCCAAAACGACATCGCCCTTATCAAGCTGAAGAAGAAGGTGAGGTTCAATGGTTTGGTCAAAACGGTGACTCTGCCCGGCCCTGATGACATCATCCCCCCCTCCTCTGAGTGTTGGATTGCCGGCTGGGGGAACATTGGCGCCAACAGTAAGTCATGCATGGCAAGCAGCACACACTGTGAGGCCACATATCAGTCACATCAAACAGCTTATCGTCAACATATAGAAATGCTAAATTGAGGGGCTGGACATTCCTAATTAAATGTTTGACTTTTCGAAATGAGCTTTTAAGGATATATCTCAGCATTTACAATAATCAACATCTCAACCGCACCAGGATGTGGATAAAGGCTGCGAGTTGCAGACTACCTCCTGACGTGTGTGTGTGTGTGTGTGTGTGTGTGTGTGTGTGTGTGTGTGTGTGTGTGTGTGTGTGTGTGTGTGTGTGTGTGTGTGTGTGTGTGTGTGTGTGTGTGTGTGTATGTGCGTGCGTGCGTGCGTGCGTGTG